TAGCTATATATAGGTCCTAGTTATAAAAATGCAAAATCATATTCTCCTTACCCAACACTGAGGAGTAGGGGAACTGGAGTAGAGACATTTTTGAGCTGTACTCTAGTTGCGCTAGCCTATGGCTTGCGGGTCTTTAGAGTACTGAACACTGCTTTGAGGGAAATGCCGCCCCGTCTGGCATTACTGGTTATTCTCAATGATTACGTGTTAAATGCTCGTAATGGGGCATTTTCCAAGGATATTCACTAAGGAGGACATGAAAATTAACTTTATGGTTATAAATAACAGACGGTGGCAGAATGCTAACACTGATGTAAGTATATATATGTATACGTATACAAGTAAAACTCTTTTACTTGACTATAGCAGTAGACAAGGGGGCTATGTTAAGTAGAAATTTAGTAAAACCATTGTTAATCATCGTAGTTATATTGTACAGACTTCGTTTTTATTTAGTACTTCCTAGTATTAGTGATATCTAATGTAATTTAGTTTTTTAATACAATCATTAAAAAAATAGTAATTTTCTGAAAAGTTGTAATGTCTCCATAAAAATACCTTTTAATAAAACGAAAAGGTGAGGTGAGTTGAGTATGTTGTTGAGTTCATATTTTAATGTAAGGAGCTGCTGGAGCTTTTATACGCTGGAAATGAATGATACATTTTTCCTAATAAATCTGTAGCCTTGAAGAGTTCTGAAATCCAAACATAAAAACGATAGAGTTTTTTTTGCGCAACATACATTTTTTGTGACACTTCTATTATAATACTGTTTTATACTCGTACTTTAACAAAATCAAACTAAATAATATTGACTTTTGACTAGTACTTCATGCAAACCTTACATTACATTCAATAATGCCTTGCTATGTCGAAAGTATATGAAAATTTTAGGGTATAATTTTAATCCATTTAAAAAAAGGTTTATATACCGTACCAGTCAAAAGTCAACATTATTTAGTTCGATTCTGTTAAAGTACAAGTATTGAACAGTATTTTAATACGAGTGTCATACAAAATGTATGTTGCTCAAAAAAAAGTCTACCGTTTTTATGTTTGGATTTCATAACTTTTCAAGGCTACGGATTCATTAGGAAGAATGTATTATTCATTGCTAGCGTATAAAAGGCTTCAGCATTTCCTTTCATTAAAATATTAACTCAACAACACATCAAACTTACCTAACCTTTTTGTTTTGTTAAAAAGTATTTTATGGGGATTTTATTTCTTCTTCAAACATGCCAATATTATAAATTACTGATACTGCCAGTCTGAAGCCAGAACAGGGAGTGGCAGGAAAAATGATAATTTTTTCTAATTTTTTTTTTGACTAAGCATGATATTGAACGTTTTCAACTCGGGAGCGAATATGATTACAGATAAGAAATTCTCCAATCTTTCGGGAGTTAATTCAACTAAGTATAGTAAGTTCTTTGTCTATCGAAAGCGAACTGTACAACAGCCTGTTACAGGTATTGTCACTATTGATATTCTTGCAATGAAAGATCAGAAGTAAGCTACGTAACTGTATGTTACTTAAAATTTTAGTTTATCTAATTTCTCTTATATACTTAATATTTCTTGCTCCTACGATGCATACAGTACAGAAAACGTAAAGAAAAATAACGTGACTGAATTTGCGCAGAGTTTTGTGAAGGGAAGTTAGAGTATTCGGAAGCCATGTAAAATAAAGTGCCTATTTCTAAGTAAGTGATTTATCACATTAAATTTAAGGCGATTATTTTAATATGCCAATTACGACAGTAGTATACATGCAGAATAATACGGCAATGCAGAGCCTATGGGGCATAGTTTTCGGAAATGGGTGTGTAAGATGTAAAAAAAAGTTAGAGTATTTGAATCATATAATTTTGCACACAAAATTCTACTTATCATGCGATAGATTAAGATTGTATAATATATGCAATAACTTCCTCGGTAAAAGAGAAAGATGTGCGTGAAGCTTTCATTTCACAGTAGGCACTCAAAAACACCTAGCTTTCTAAGCTTTTAAGATGATGTCATGAAGTTTCGTCACTTCGTAGAGTGGATGCGCAGGTTATAGGTGTTTTGCAAAGTTTGTTTACTGTGATTTACTCATCTACCGAATAGTTTAATGTCTTCTATCTCAGCCTATTTCAGGGGGGATGGCTGTGGTGGTTGTAGAACCATTTTACAAACTGTTCTAGGTAGAGTATAAAAAGACGTTAAGGATGAGGATGCATGAGCATAGACACAAGATATTAACTAGTAATAAAAAAGAGCTTCTTAGGAGCATCATTGTTACCTAGAAAATTCCTAATGCAAAGTGCAGAACAATAAGACGTGTGGATTGCGGTACACAGAAAAGCATCCAAAATATAGGTAAGATTGCAATGGCTTAGTCTTAAATTTAATTTTAAAAAATTACTCATTCCTTAGTTCAGTCAAAAATCTAATTAGAAAATGGCATAGCAGACTTGCTTTTTGTGCTATAAAGGTTTCTGAACCTAAAATCACTAATTCAAGGGGTTCGCATCTTTCCAAATTTTATGGTCTCATTCGGGCACATAAGGTTGACTTCCCAGTGAGATTCATAGTCTCCTTCGTTGCTTCTCCCACTTATCAAATAGACAAATGGTTCTCGTTGGAGAGACCTTCTCACTTATTTTTAATCGTTGACTTTTGTTTATCTATTTATAATTTTTTATTCATACTGTTACATGTCTTTTACAATGCATAATTTTTGAGAGCGCAAGACAGTCAAAGTGGCTTCTTGCCCCAACATCGTCATGGTGAGCGATATTATAATAAATAATAAAATTTCTTTACCGTTTTAATGTTACACTAACATTACTTAGGAGAACTGTAGTATACTGTTCTCATTTTTTAAGTTCTTGAAATACGTAATCTTAAAGAAGCCATCAGAATAATGTCAAAATACGTATTGAAGAACAAAAAAAGAACGATGCTCTAAAATCACCTAGTAGTGTATTTTTATTATGTTCTTAAATATTATTATTATAAAATAAATGATAGTTGTCGGAATACCAAAAAAAGTTGTTATAGTTATGGCTTAAATAATAATCATACTAAGTACAGCTTTTTATGTCTTTTAATTGATATAATGAACCTATACTACCATGAACCAATAAATCCTAGTGGGCTAAGTCTTACTACATCTTTTTTGATTTTTTACGAAACTCGAATGGCCGAGTTCAATAACAAGCACAGTAAGCATAGTTTTCCAATGTACGAGAATTGTGCGTTATATGAAATATTATACAAAGAACATTTTCTCATATTTTCTTTCTGTAATAATTTTATCTTTATAACATCGTGAGTTAATACTACAGACAATTTGATATCAGTCATGCTGGCAGTTAGATACAGTTAGATAATTAAAATTAATTACACATTTTTTTATAAAAAGCATTTAAAGACTTAGAGCAATGGTACATAATTTATTATAAATATTCTAATGAAGGTATGAAAAATATGAAAAAAAAATTTTTTTCTAACAAACTCTAATAAAATTATATATTATTTTAGGTCAGTGTATTTTTACCTGTTAGTTAATCTGTATTTAGGCTTTATCATGAAACAACAAACTTATTACATTTAAAAATTTTAACTAACAGAAATAGAATGTTTTCCGGAGTCCTTTTAGAGATAGTATTTTTCTATTGGTTACAAATTTTTTAAAATAAACTTGAAGTCCCAGAAAATGTATGAAATAAGTTATTCTCTAAAAAACTTACCTGTCCTTAATTAGTGCCAATGTTAATTAGCCAGTGTTTTTGCCGTAATACCATCATGAGATCTGGCCTAGCGCCAGAAATTTATGGCTTTAAAACAGAGAGTTGACACCTTTAACGCATTGACTATAGCTATGGGCAAAAATCAAAGTGGCGATGGAGTTTTGTCCGTTGCCATCTTGCGTTTGCTTCTCCCACTTTTTGTTTTTACGCCATATGCGCTCTCTGCAGCATGTACGGACTCATTGCCTGCGCAGCTCATAAATTCCTATATATATATGTATGTTTAAATGTGCGTGTATATATACACTGCAGCTGATATGATAGCTTGATACTCTTCATGCTTAATTCACAAAATTTTAGCTGAGCTGTGCAGATTTGCCATACTCGTATCAAAATAAGATCTATACAGAGATAGTGCTCACAATAAATATATTTTCTATATATCACAAGACTATCAGCTGCAGTGTTTATATACACACACATTAAAACATACATATATATAGGTATTTATAAGCTGCACCGGCATCAAGTGCTTGCATGATGCAGAGAAAGTATAGAGTGTAAAAACAAAAAGTGGGAGAAGCAAACGCAAGACGGCAACGGACAAAACTCCATCACCACTTTGCCTTTTGCCCATAGCTATAGTCAATGCATTCAAAGTGTCGACTCTCTGCTTTAAAGCCATAAAAATAAACTTCTGGTTCTAGGCTCATGTCTCATGATGACATTACGATATAGACACTGGCGACGCCATAGCTACATGGCAGCCTGCGCTTAGCTTGTAGCAGCCACAGTAAAAGCGCATGGCTTGCTGTGCAGGCTCATCGCATTGACGCTCTCATGCGATAATGCCATTTTCCTCCTCTGCATGTAACAACCTTTTTTAAAATTGTGGTCCAAATCTCCTATGCTCACACAATATAGTTAGTTATTTTGTAGATCATGCAATTTTTTAATACGCACATTTTTATTTACCTTATTATAGGTAATGGTCTAATTTTTTGGTCAAATAACACTGATTTTACGTACGGAAACAATATTAAATTAACCGCTGTTAAACTTCAAAAGCTGGTCCTTCGTTCTGCTTAATTTGTTGGTTGATCACACTATTCTTGTTAAATGTCAGGATTTATGATCGTTTGATTTTTCTTACCTTATCTTATTGTTCATAAACTTAGCGTGACATAAAGTAATTTGAAATCTTTTTAATATTGGAAAACAAAGATATTTGTTATGAAAAATAATATGTTTGTATTTCAGAACACGCTATGGCACATCTGTCTTACATTTTTCCAAGACTCGCCGTAATAATTTCAAATTTGATAAGAGAACGATGAAAAATCAACATACTGTCTATGATGATAGTGTTACAAGTGGACCTTATGACGTAGACGATAAAAAGTATCAAGAAGATGAAGAGTCAACTTTCAATCATAAATATAAAGTTGATCAAACACAAATTGATGATTCCAGCACAATGATACCACATGTAAAGTTTTCAGTAAAATATAGTATACAAGTCCACAATAATAAGAATAAACTATTAGCCTCTTCAACATAATAACTCATAAAAGTCCAACACAGTTAAATGAAAACTTATTGACACTGTAGGTTCAGGATGAAGAAAGACTTGTTAAATTTTTTCTGTGTATACTGATACTGCTTAAACCATATATTTTATATTGTATATTTCTTACAAAATAAAAAATTATACTTCTTTTTTTAAGCGTACGTTAACAAAATACAGTACTCACCAAAAATAATAATTATTTTCTTGGTAACAAAATAGTCATTTATAGTTAATAGTTTTCTCAATAGTAAGACCAATATAATTATAACAATAATTAGAAAATTCTAGGGAAAAACTTGTTTCACCAAGTGTTAAAAAATTATCTTACTAGCTTGCACTGCCTTAAAAAAAGTGTTTAATACAATATTTTCCATGCTATTCAACATAATTGTTTTATTTATGTAAAAATGTAAAGATGTCAGAAAGCTCTATCCATGTTTATTTTATGAAACAAAAAGCCTTATAAATCAACGTGTGCAATATTTTTCTTCTACTTTAACAACTCTCTAATAAGAAGACAAAAAACAGGTTTGAAACTAGGGACGAAATTTAAGGGCATACACAAAAAAGACACCTAACCATTATGCACTGCAGTTCTCTCTTAGATCATTTCTCTTTATTTCTAAAATATAATATTTTTTCTGCATCAATTCATCAGTCATTGACTATTTATAAGCATTGCGTAATGGATACGAGGACGATTCATAATTGAAAGTACAAATATAAACGATACACCATGTACTTCTAACCATTTTTTCAAGCACTGTTTTAAATACTACAAGTTTTTTTTTCAATTTTAATTAGGACAGCTTTGATAATAAACGGTATACGACTCTAGAATAACTCAATTAATAGTAGTTAACAAACGTTGTATGACCATTAACGTAATATTATCATTGTTCGCTAGAGGTTATTTTAAATACAGAACTCTTACATATACATATGATGAAAAAAAATTGTGCACTAATTTTTAAAGAACTTATTATTTGATGTCCTCTTAAAATATACTCAAAAATATTTTCAGTCCTTTTAGTCATTACTTCTGTCACTTTAGTGCTCTTTATAATCATCACATACGATCCAAGACATGTTACGACTGTGGAGACTCAGAGACCAAATGTGACAATCACGACGTTATTATATATGTAATATGGGTGTTTTTGCCTATTTGACTTACGTACAAGTGTATCTTGCTTTGTTAAATAACTCCTTTTTGCGTTTCTATGGAAGATTATTTGTGCAATTAAATTTGTATTTGTTAATTTAATGGTTTGACATTAACTTATTACTATAATTTGTTGATAAAGCTGAAAAATGTCGACGCTCTAGTTGACAAAATTTCGCCATAATTAAAAAAAGCTTTGTGTTTGTTTTTTAGAATTTGCCTTAAGAGACTAACCAATAATTATGAAATGAGAATAACATGAAAGGCAAGAAACGCAATAACTATTATAGTTATTACTTAGAATCGTTTCACTTCGATACCATCTAGGTAATAATTTATGAGTTATAAATTGCTAGAACAAAAGAACTCATCATTGATTTCAATCGTTTTGTAAAAATTTTATTTTTAAACATCATGCACAGTTCACATATTAAACTTTGAACCTGATGTTACTGTCTACTGGTCATAAGATAGCGACCATTCTCAACGATTTCTTGGTCATCGCTTGCATGGCGAATCTCAAAATATGTAGCAGGTGCTAGATGTATGAGAGAGATATAGAAAATAAAGCAGGGACATAGTTACTCAATTTCTCGAGGACTTTTTCAGTTGGTAACTAAAGTTCCCGGCATCAATCACGGTTGGTAATGAAATCTAATGAGCAAGATCCACCCCAGTCCTACCCCGTACCTTCACCCCATTGATAACCAACACTTTCCAATACATCATTTCTGGCTACAAGCCTAGAGCACTTAAGAATTCCATCAAGCTGCTACTAAAAGCATTGTCTTAATGCTTTTTTCCTCCCTTCTCCTGTAGTACCATTAAAAATTCAGCGAAGGACTGAACATGAGGTGAAAACAAGCAAGCCGAAATATAATTATTTGTAAAAATGAAAATGCAATGTATGAAAAACCAAAAAAAAAAAACACACCAAAATATTCAGTAAAGTGCATATTAATTTTATTATTATAATTGATATTATTATGAGCATCATCATCAATATTATCATTGTCGTCATCGTTGTCGTCGTCGTGTACTTAAACTGACACTCTACTATTCAACTTTTTTAATCACCTTATCTAAAATTCTTTAATGACAAAAAAAAATATCGTTAAGATTTTCCCAAAAATATTACCAATTTCTGTGTAGTCAACTACTTGATTACCAATCTTTTGCGTGATTGGATAGCTCAAGCCATAATTTTTTGCGTTTATGATTATCATTTAGTTAAGGCCAAGAAAATAGTGGCCTAGAGATGAATACTTAAAAGGCTCATCAGTTCTATAAAAGGAAATGATCGCCATCTCTTTAAGCACATAATCATTTTTAGGCTTCTTAAAGTCCTGCATTTCCACACCATATATTTTATAATGAAGAAGACTGACTTCATTGCTAGTTTTTTTTAATTTCATGTACGTGCTTAAAAACGTTTTCTTATATCATCGCTAATTAAATTATACTATGTGATGCAAATGTGTAGAATAAAAATTTTCTTATGCTTCAAACCCCAAACAAACATTCACTAGTGCAATTTCAATTTTTTTTTCTGCTTAGAGCAATTAAGTACAAGGAGAAGAATGTGTGAAATAAAATCTTTGATTTAACGTAGATTCTGATTCTTATGCATAATAGTCTGCTTTAAAACCTTAATACATAATGTATTTTATAGAAAATTATCTTTAGTATGATTAAGATTAAGATTTTTATAAGATTAAAAAGTATAAGTTTGAAAAAAGCTTAATATTGCTGATATTGCAATAAATAGAGTCATTGATACTATAGAAGCAGGCTTACTTTTAAAAATAAGCTTTTCTTGCGCAATATCGTCAAATTTGTCATTTACCTAATGCAATTATATAAAGTTCAAGCCACGCAAGCTTAGTCAATGTTATCTTATACAATCTTGTGTAAATTAGTTTACGTTTTGCATCAACCACAACTTCGCGATAGTCCTTAGCTAAATCATATATAATACTAAAAAGTATTGATACATGAAAACAAGGATAATCATCGATACTATTTTATTTTTCTTTAATGTCTATTCAACCTGCATTTTTAAAAAAAACTTGGGCTAGCAGGGAAATGTATTCATCAGTAGATAGGCTAGGCCAAGTCTGGATTCAACCCCCCTAGTTTGGTAGGAGGGATAGGAAGCTCGTGCTGTTGTACAAGTGCTTTTGCCTGTGGTGGTGGGGGGAGAGGGATAGTGTGATAGCTCGCCGACAGCTCGTGCTGTTGCCCGATCAGAAAGCTTAGCAAGGGGTCCAGCTTGTGCCTACCTAGGCACCCTAGCTAGCCTAGCTAGATCCTAGCGAGATAAAAGTATAGAGGCAGATGGTGTGATGTAACGCGGCTTAGCTTCGCCCTACCTAGGTAACCTCTCTAGAGTATTTTCTGCATACACCCACTGAAAATGCTTTAAGTCTATGTTCTACTCTGCTCCTTCACCTTGCTTCCTAGGTGTGTGTACTATACTGTACTTCTAGAAATGAATTCTTAGACTAGAAGAAGGAAAAATAGTGTAATGTCTTACAACAATAGCAACTTGATTATTAAAAAAAAAAATTATTTTTACTACGTAAAAAAATTACTGTAGGAAAAAAATAGTGTCAATTTAATAAAACTGTGAGAATACTTTAAATGTTTTGGTCCTTAGCATTTTGATTTTAATCCAATAACTCAATAACCCATTGTAATTTGCACGAACATTAGAGCCATGTATTTTTTCTTCTTCCTCTGCAATTGCACGTTTGAAAGCAAGATATCTCTTGACCCTTTCCTTACTCAATGACAACGATCGTTTTACTGTCTCACTTATTTTACAAAAAAAATTTTTTAAACTATTCAATAAAAATGCAGAGAACCCTTAACATGTCGGTTAATTATCTTACACACACTGCTCTGAAATGGTTATCATTTGCATCATTTGTATTATATTGTAGCTACAGTATAAGAAAGAGTGAGATGGAAGATACCTATCTCGGCTTTCTACCTAGTTCCTACCAAAACCTACCTTGGGCCTATCTAAGTCTCCTCTCACTACCAAGGCAGCGTAGTTAAATTTTCGATCGGGTGTACGAGGGCTCCAGAGCACGAAAGAGGGGGAAACCAAGTGAAGAAGTTTTTTTTTCTCTCTCGCTCCGATGTAAGATGTGAGGATGGAGACACTGCGTACATAAGCTCTCTCTTTTCGCTCTTACCTTAGGCAGCATAAATATATTAATTACTTTGCAGAGGGCTCTATCTTTTTTTTCTCCTGCTGTAAGACAAGGGTTCAAGCGCTCTATGTACATACATATGCATGTAAATATACATATTTAAGTTCTCATGCATACGATTGGGTATACACCTGCACATATGCACACTTCTACTGAATAACGTTCATGCTTATACGTTACTCTTGTACAAGCACACGCGTACATGCGTGAGCGTATGCATACATGTGATCGTACGCATGCTCGCGCTATCGTACGCGTACACCACGTGCGAGCTTACACGAAAGCACGACGTGGGAGTGTACGCACGAACGCAGAAGCATAAAAGCTTTTACACGTAGATAAGTATATTTATAATCTTCAATTTTTATACAGACAGCAACATACTTTAGCGTTCAAAAAATTTGTACATGTACATGCCGTTGTTGTAAAATGTAGATCTCACCCATGCTCTATAATATGCAAGTACTCAATTGCTTAGTTGGTTAACTATCTTATTGGTATAATATGGTTAATTATATTAGTCTACTTTCACTTTTTTAATTGATAAATCAATTTTTTTTCATAATTTTTAGTTCTTGTAAGCAAATAATAAGGGAAGGTTGCGTAAGAGTTATTTAAATAAAAACATTAAGCGTTAGTTTAAGTGTTAGTAACACTTACTAATTTTAACTTTACTTCAACATGTACAAGTAAGAA